AATATAAGTCACGTATAAAAGGAAGCAAAAATTTCCCTCTCCACTTTCCCCAGAGAACGTATATTTATAGAGAAGGACCAAGAACGAATCAGCGCGGAAACTGTCAAATACCAACAAAACTGGCGAAGCGCATTTTAAGAGCGGCCAGCCAGAGACAATCGAATTTTAACAGAGCCCAGCCAGAGGCAAAATAAATTTAACAGAAATTGTCTCATCAAAGCAAATGCATATTTTTCTTGTTAGAAATGAAATGCTGATGGCTTTTTACGTTTTTACAACGCTTTTATTGTTCTTTAAATTGGTTAATTATTTAAAATAAATGCATGCATAGGTCGAAATATGTAATATGTACATATTGTGTACATGTTTATGTATGCGAGAGATACAATTTTGTGAATCTAAAATGTGAAAGTTATGCAAATATGTAGCATGCAATTGGCAAATTCGTTGGTGATTTGGCGTCGGCATTTGGGTTGAAAAAATCGACTTTTACTTTTTTACCGATTCATATGGTAGATGCTACGCTATTTTCAACGCAACAAACCGCAGTTTTCTAGCTGCCTTAGTTTTTCCCCAAATTCACTTTAAAGATGGACACATTGACCAAAAAATGCAAATGCGCACTGTTTGGTGTCGGCATTAAAAGCGAAGCAAATCGGTTTTTATATATTTAACGATTCTAATGGTAGTTTATAGACACGATATTTTCAATGCAACAAACTGCAGTTTTCTAGCTGCCTTAGTTTTCTCACAAATCCACTTCAAAGATGGATACATTGACAAAAAACGTACAAATGCATTGATTGCACTGCACGTGTTAACTTCAAAGTTGTTTTTGTCGAAAAGTTATTTACATTGAGAAAAACTGTGCATTATCATTTTTCACTGCTATACTCGTATTATATGTAAATAATGGGGCATATGCATAGTTAAAATAAAGCCGACACTAAAGTTAGTTGCAGCATTTTCACATCACTTTCAGTGGACTAGGCATCTGTGAAAAAAAAAGATGCAACTAACTTCTTATTTGGGACTGACAAACTTAAACTTAGAGTAGACTTTATTTCATATACGAATATGCCCCAATAGTTTTGGAGTCAAATGAAAATGCATTTCCCCATGCATACGTATGTACATACGTACTCCATTATCTGATAACGTTTTTACATGCATACATATATATGTATGTATGAGCATATTACTGCCAAAATACTACGCACACAAATGTACATATTTATAACTCACGGCAGCATACATACATATGCACATAATTACACGCGTACTCAAATACAACAATAACTATTTCTTTCATAAACGCATGCGCGCATTTCTCAAGGCCAAGTAAATTCATTCATAAAAATAA